AAAAATCACTCCTGAAAGATGAAGGTGAAAGGGACAGTGTCAATCGAGGAAATGATATACACCAGGGGTGTCAAACTCAAATTCATTGAGGACTGTATTAGAATTGTGTTTTACTTGGGGGGAGGGGAGCGGCAGAGTGGGCGTGGCCAGGGTGGGCATGGCCAGTTCAACGTCACTCCTTTTGGGGGTGCCTATGGTGGCCTAAGCACTCTGCCAGCCAAAACAGGTTCCTGAGCTCCGTTTTCAGCTGCCACAACTGGCAGAGGGTTGCAGGAAGCCATGGCAGCTGAAAACGGAGCTCAGGAGGTCATTTTCACTGGCAGAAGCACTGCAGGCCAGTCCCTTGCTGGTTCCAAGGTGATCCCATGGGCCAGATCTAAGTACCCCATGGGCCCCCGAGCCTTTAGTTTGACACCCCTGATATACACAGTTGTGATAGACACACCCCAGATATATACTTATCCCTTTTTTGTGCGTGTCTTTGTCTAAGCCACACACACACACAAAAAGGGGAAGTTTGCATAGGTACTTGTACGCAAACTGCTCTAAGCCAAGGTGGGAATGTAGAAACACTAGATGGTAGACAGAAATATAGATATAAGCATGAGAGAAACCTGGTGAAATGGATATTAACAATGGGATATAGTTTGCTCTGGATATAAAATCTCCTGAAGAGGCAAGAAAGGGCATGCTGGGGGCACACAGAGTCTCATAAACCAGGACTTAGAAGTGGATAAATTGTTTCACTGAATCACTGCAGACATCCACATTAATCCCTTAAAGCAAGTTAACATGGTATTACCAAGTTGCTAAAGTTAGCTTACAAGTGGAAAATAAAATTATAACATGACCTAAAAACAATAATAACAGTAATGGGCCAATTCATTGCCCTCAAATAGGATGGGATAATGCATGTTCTGGACATGACTTCTTAAAAAACTTTAACATGAAATCACTGATAAAAAATATGCAATTTCTAACCTGCCCTTGGGCAAGGACCAGGAAAGTAGCCAGTTTAACCTATAATTTAAAAAAATGGACTTGGAAGGATAAACTTTATCTCATTAACTTTCTAGAATGTTTTGAGGGCATCAGCAGGCATATCAACAGAGGTGACCCTTTAGATAATTGTATATTTGGATTTTCAAAATTATTTTGAGAATATAGG